TCTATGATACAGAGATCAAGGCATAGTCTGGGTAAAAGAGGGGAAATCATGTTAGGATTCTTGACTATCTTATAAATATCGGTTTCCCTTACCTACTATTGTAAAATATTCACTTGAGTGGGATAAAAAGGAATATCGGGAAACAAGATTACCGCAACTTTGTAAGCCCACATTCAGCGTATAACTCATCGAAATACCTAAAAGGAGTTCTAGAACATGCCCAGTGAAATAGGCTTCTTGCAGAGCCTTGGTAGTGTATAGGACTTTAGGTGTAGTCCTGAGCCCCATCCAGAACTTTCCGAGGTGGGACAGCTCCACTAGAAAGGACAAGCACCAGCCTATAGCAGCTAGAGGAACAGAACATAATTTCTGAAAGAAAGACCAGCAGGAAATATCAAAATAAAAAACAAAAACGGCAGTCTGAATGATCACTACAAGGACTAGCAAGTTGTTCACTGGAGAGCCTGGAGACTCAGGACCAATCTTGGGGGAAATCATGGTCAACTGGCATAACATTGTCCACAAAGACAACATTCTATATCCTACGTTGGTGATTAGTGACTGGGAGCTTAAAAGCTCTTGAGCGATCATCTTAAGGTGCAACTATTGGGTATCTCTATGTGAGGAAAGAAGAATGATGAAATTGAAATTGCTTGGAATTAGTTGATGAAAATTGAAGATGATTGGACTAATGTTAACACATGAACATCAGTCTCTATGACTCTGAGACCAGAAGAACTATATACAGCACACAGCACCGAGCTACCACTACAAACAGTTCTGAATAGGATCCTATTAGAAGATCCCAGGTAGTGGGAGACAGTGTGAACAAAAGTCAAAATTATAAAAAAGGTCAGGATTATTGGTCAAAAAGAGGAGGTACCTGAGACTATTACCCTTAGCCACCTTTCAGTTCTGAAATGAAACTCATCCTCGTAGCTCAACTTTCAACCACGTGGTAGATAGTATATAGGGGGGTCAACGACACTAGTCAGGCACATTCACACTCATCATTCAAGGTTAAAAGGGTAATATTGACGGAAGGACAAAGTTCAGGAGGATTGGAAAGGAAGATGGAATGGCAATGAGAAACCACAAGGAGAAAGCGGGATAACTATTGTTATATGAAATGGATTACAATCATTGCACAATCTATGATTTGTTGAATGTAAAACTGATGATCTGCTCTGTAAACCTGCACACAATTCTAAATAGTTTAGAATAAAAAAAAGTGAGTCTTGTTACTACCAAACTCCTCATTTTCTATAAAACTAGAGATAAAGGAAAACAGACAGGGAAAAACAAAAGAGAAAAAAAATCATCATTACTGTTTAACTAAATCAATCATTCATTATGATTTTTTGCTTTTTTTAAAGCTCCCTCATATGTATTGCTCGGAAACACTGGGGAAGACACTTCTTTGACTATCATTTGGTTTGAAGTTTGATCATGGAATAATTAAAAATTGTTACACAATTATAAAACTGTGAATTAAAAGAAACAGTAAAATGAAACAAATGAACACAAATATATCCAGTTGGTATATCTAAAATAAATAGATGATTCCAAGGGACTGTTGTTATTGTTAGGTGTCATCTAGTTGATTCTACTCAGAGTGACCCTATTTTCAACAGAACAAAACACTGTAAGGTCTTGTGTAACCCTCACAGCTTTAAGCTATGTTTGAGCCATTGTTTGTAGCCTCTTCTGTGTCAATCCATCTCATTAAGGGTCTTTCTCTTTTTTTGTTGGCCCTCTACCAAGCATGATGTCCTTTCTTCAAGGATTGGTCCCTCCTGATGACATGTCCAAAGTACTAGAGATGAAGTCTTGTCATCCTTGCTTCGAGGGAGCATTCTTGCTGTATTTCTCATGGACAACTTTAATTGTTCTTCTGGTACTCCACTGTACTTTCAATATTCTTCATCAACACCAAATACAAAAGCATGAATTCTTCTCTGATCTTCATTACTCTTTACTAACACTTAAAGAGGTCTTGTGCAGCAGATCTGCCCAATGCAATATACTATTTTATTTCTTAACTGCTGCTCCTATAGGCGTTGACTGTGGATCCACGTAAAATGAAATCCTTGAAAACTTCAATCTTTTCTCTGTTTATCATGTTGATTATTGTATCAGTTGTGAGGATTTATACTTTCTTTACACAGAAGTGTAATCCACATTGAGGGCTGTAGTCTTTCACCTTCATCAGTAAGTGCTTCAACTCCTCTTCCCGTTTAGCTACCAAAAGTGTGTCATTGGATATCACAGGTTGTTAAAAGAGCTGTCCTCCAACTCTGACACTACATTTTTCTTTATATAGTCCATCTTCTCAGACAATTTGCTCAGCATACAGGCTAACTAACTATGGTGAGAGCATACAACCCCAATACACACTTTTACTGATTTAAAAACCATGTAGTATTCTTGTTTTGTTTGAATAAATGCATCCTTAGTCTATGCAGAGCTTCCTTCCACAAGCGCATAATGAAGTGTTCTGGAATTCATATTATTCGTAATGTTATCTATAATTTGTTATGAACCATTCAATCAAATATCTTTACATAAATAAAACAAGGGTAGTTATGATTCTGAAAAACGGCATTTGAAGTAAGTTGTTGGTCTTGAATTTGTTGTTTCTATCACCAAGGTCACATTTTCCAACCAATCACCCTTTTTTGGTTTCCATGCTTTATGTTCCAATTACCAGTGATTTATCAATGCATCTTCAGTTCATGTTTGTTCAACTTCAGATTACAAAAGTTAGTTAAAAATCTTCAATTTCTTCATCTTTGGCATAGCTGGGGCAGAAATTTTAGTAATAGTTATATGAACTGGCCTTTCTTGCAGACCTATAGGTGTTCACTTATTACTGACAGTACTGTACTTCAGCATAAATTATGAAATGTTCTTTTTGACAATGAACATGACACTGTTCCTGCTCTAATTTGACATTTTCAGCTTAACAGACTATATGATGTTCTGATTCAATATAGCCAGTACTAGTTCATTTTAGTTTATTAATGACTAGAATATTGATCTTTAGGAGTCTGGTATGGCAACGTGGGATAATGTGATGGATCCCAAAGTTGGTTTGAACAGCAAGGTCAGTGGTTCGAATTCACTAGCCACTTCTAGGAAACCCTATAAAGTCGGCACTGACTTGACATCCCTTAATAACAACATTGGTCTCTAAGCATTCCATTTAATTTTTAACAAATGATTACTTTTCCTAGATTCATACTTCATAAATTTCAAGTTCTGATTATTAATAAATATTTACAGCTGTTTCTTCTCATTTGGAGCCATGCACGGCAGAAGATCAAAGTCTTGAAAGCTTTACTCCATCCACATCATTAAAGTCAGCTACTATGAGGAGGCAGTGCTTATTCTGAGTGTGTCCAACACAAGGGACTCATATTCCAGCATTATGTGTATCAGACTATTCACCAAGTTTTCAGAAGTAGATCAACAGATCCTTTGTCCTAGTCTGTTTTAGTGCGAAAGGGCCACTGAAATTTGTCCACCATGTGAGCCAGTTGGTATTTGAAATACTGGTAGTATAGCCTTCAGCATCTAAGCAACACAAAAGCAACCAATTAAAACAAACAGTTAAAAAAGGGTAAAGATGCAGTATGAATGAAATAAATCTGAATTTTAATGGGAAGTATTTGCATGAAGGCCATGAGAACAAAGCACCCAGATTATAACCTCCAAATGCCATTTTTCTCACTAAAAGATAGTACAGCTCCTTAAAAAATGGCTAGCTTCAGATCTGGGGCACAAAAACAGCAAGATATGGATGAAACGTCTTGTCACATCTGAAAGCAAGAAAGCCATTTCAAATGGACTTAATAGCCAACCTGAATTAGCTTTTGCTGGCCAAAGATGAGGAAACCTAATGACACTATAAAACACTGGATTACTAACCACAAGAATGGCAGTTCAAACTCATCAGCTGCTCTGTAGGAAAAGATGAGGCTTTCGGCTCCCATAAAGATTTATAGCCTCAGAAACGCTATACAGGGTTGCTATGAGTCATACTGGACTCCGTGGTAGTGGGTTTGGTTTGTATTTGGGGGGCCAAAGATGAGATAATCAGAGCAACGGTGAGATAATACCTACAATAGATATGTTACTGCTGTTGTTAAGCACTGTCGAATCAGTTCCAACACACAGCAACCCCGTATAAGGTTTCTGAAGAGCAGATGGTGGGTTTGAACTGCCAAACTCATGATCAACAGTCCACGGCTTATCCAACAATGCCGTACCAGGATTCCATGAAAGATTATACTACTAATAAAAACAATCAATGGTCACTTTTGGAGGATGTTAGGGAACTACCTCATTATTTGAGTAAACAAAGGTAAACAATGGACCACTTATCTTGCCTTTCATATACAAATGTTAACTCCAAGGTAAAAATCAAACTGTTGATTAGGAGACATCCAATTTTATAGAAATACTCCAGCTAATAAATGAAGGAGTGATAAAATTAGAAAATTATCCTTTTCCATACACTGGATTATAGAAAGAAGAATACGGCATCAGGATTGAAGGAAGACTCAGTAACAGTCTGAGCTATGCAGATGACCTAACCTTGCTTGCTGAAAGTGAAGCTGACTTAAAATGCTTACTAATGAAGATCAAAGACCACAGCCTTCAGTTATGGACTGGACCCAATGTAAAGAAAACAAAAATCCACACAACTAGACCAGTAAGCATTATCATGATAGAGAAAAAAATTGAAATTGCCAGACTTCATTTTGCTTGGATCCAATCAAGATTCATGGAAGCAGCAGTCAAGAAATCAAATGATGTATTTTATAAGGCACATTTGCTGCAAAAGATCTCTTTGAAGTATTCAAAGAGTAAAGATGTCAGTTTGAATACTGGTGTGCACCTGACCCAAGCCATGGTATTTCCAACAGACTTATATGCATGTGAAAGTTGGGAAATGAATAAGGAAATCCATAGAAGAACCAATGCATTTGAATTATGGTGTTTGCAGAGAATATTGAAAGTACCATGGACTGTCAGAAGAACAAATAACTCTATCTTAGAGGAAGTACAGCCAGATAGGCTCCTTAGAAGCTAGGATATTGAGGACTTATCTCTTGTTCCTTTGACATATTCAGGAAGGATAAGTTCCTGGAGAAGGACATCATGCTTGGTAAAGTGGAGGGGAAATGAAAAAGAAATCACCAATGAGATAGACTGACACGGTGGCAGCAACAAAGGGCAGAAACATAATTAATTGTGAGTATGGTGCAAAACCAAGCAGTGTTTCACTCTGTTGTGTCCAGGACTGCTAATGGTCAAAACTGATTCAACGGCACCTAACCTCAATATAAGCTAAGGGATCCAGGCAATAATCAACAAGGATGAGTACATCACAAAAAGATAAACACCAGACATTATTTACCTTCTGATAAAAGCTCAGAAATCACCTATGAACTAGTCTTGCCAAAAATATTTAAAAACTAAAAAGAAAAATTTTAATTGGATCTGAAGAAGCTTCTAGATGAACAAATTTAGAAGAAATAAAATGGACACAGGAACACATTAAATGACAACCACCAAAATTGAGATTCTGGGAGTCTCTACAAGACAAACTACCCAATTTCTTTACAAAGAAATTAAGAGATGGAAGGAAAACCGACAGGTGAAAACAGACACGAGACCTACTAACCAATTTCAACAATGTGTACAGACTGTATTTAGATTTCTATTTAAATAAATGCACAAACCACACACCTCACCCTTTCAACACTGGTCATTTGTAGATAATTATTGAAGCAAAATGGTAAGTACAACAGGGTCATTATACTATTCGCTCTACTTTCATATGTATTTCCCTTAAACTAAAATTATTTCCCTTGCTTTTGCTTTTAAATTGCTCCAGCCATAGCTATGCCCCATCTACCCACCAAAGCTTTTAAGAATGACTAAAGGAAAAAGCATGAATCATGTAAACAAATAAAATCATAATGTAACTATTTTATCATACTAAATAAAAATATCAAAATTTGTTAACAAGAAAATCACCCTAGATTGCGTAATTCTTTCAATGGTTTTATGAAAACTTACCAGAATCTACCTGTGATGAAAGCACCACCAACGACTGTGATGTTTCTAAATCATAAATTATTGTACTACCAGTGTTGAAAGAGGTCACCATATGAGCTGGATCACAGCCTATAAAGTCAACTGATGTAGGTATTCCATGTTCTAAAAGGAGCCCAAGAGATATAATGTAAAGACAGTAATTTAGAAAACTCAACCTAATGAAAAACAATAGAATTCAAATATGCTTCAAATTATGTTAATAATGAAGAAAGTAATTGTGTTAAGATGGTGATATAATTATTTCCTCAATTATTTAAAGCTTTTATAACATTCAAAAGATCTGATTAAAAATAAGTTTCAAAGAATTACTTGGCAAATCAGTCCATATATATCTGTAAATACATGTTTTAAAAAAATAGACTGGTTAAAACCTTCTTGGATACGAAAAGATTTAAAATCAAGCATGTAACCCAATTAATACATCCCAATTACGGTGCTATTTCAAAAGATTATGGCTGAACTTCGTCACTAGGGTGCTTACAGCCATAATGTAAAAATGGTTTGCAAGTATGTTTGAAATTGTAATCCCTTCAGTGTTTGGGACAATCATCACCATGAGCACCTAGGTGGAATATCTCCCTTGCTGTCCTCATTTGTCTACCCTAGTTTTATTTCCTATGAGGGACATGACCTATAGAAGGACAAAAACACTGGGTGGAATATAGTTGCAAACACTTCTCTTGTATACTCAAAAAAAAACCCTCAAAGTCAAAACATTATCACAAGTTTTATGAAATTCTTTAACACAACTCTTTGGAGCAGCAGGAAACTAATAATCTGTTGTTTTGCCTTCTGCATCTTCCAAATTTCAGTCAAAATAAAAATTAACTTTATTACAACAAAATTTACTTACCTTTGTCTCCATTGTAAGTGCAAATACATGGCAATTTTTCTTGTGGATTCCATAACCTAACAGTGCCATCTGCTGAACAAGATAGTAATTGATTTTTTATTCCACTGTAAGCAAGACCCCAGACAGCATCTGTATGAGCAACTAAAGTGCCACCTAGAACATTTGGCTCTGTTGAAATAAACAAACAAAACAAATTAGCTAAGACACAATTCAAAATAAATGCTTTGGTTTCTAATTAAACACAAAGACCCCACAACACTGCCACTAGAAAATAAGCCACAGTGTACAGAGTGACTGCTTTTAAGATGCAGTTACCAGGGTTATTATTTTTTTTCTCCTATATTTTTATGCATCTTCCTAATTTAGAATAAGGTACATATGCTTTACTAACAGCTTTGAGAGTATATCATACAACTTATTTCATTTTAAATAGTTTTTGTTTTGCTTACAGAGTTGTGGAATCATTGCCATAATCAATTAATTTTAGAACATTTTAACCATTCAGCCATGTTTCCCCAACCACCCCACCATTTTTCCACAGCCCTATGCACATTGTGATCTACTCTGTGTTCATATTGTTGCTATCACGTGCAACCTAGAGTAACTCCTACATACAGCTCACCAGGTCCTTCACCATCCTAACAATTGTTGCTGTTTGAGCCTACTGTTGCAGTCGTGTGCCAATTCATCTCATTAAGGTTCTTCCTCCTTTTGGTGGATCCTCTACTTTACCAAGCCTAAGCTTCCTTCTCTTAAGGACTGACCCCTCTTAATGACATGTCTAAAAGTAGGTGACATTCTGGCTATACTTCTTCCAACAAAGATTTGCATCTTCTTGGCAGTTTGTGGTAATTTCAATATTTTCCACTAACACTGTAATTCAAACTGATCAATTCTTTTCTGAAATTAAAAGTATTTCACCCTCCAAAATACTGTACAATTTACACCGTCTATATTTGTTTCCACAGTCTTTTCCTTACATTCTGATCCATACAAGCTATTTATTAAGCTTAAAGAATTGCTCCAGTATTCTTTTTTCTAAGCAATATTAAATAAATCAACATTGTTAACAACATATTGGATTTTTTCCTGACATCATAGGGAAAGTACCAATTCACAGGCTTAAATACTTACGATGTGACATTTCTAAATTTTATGATTAATAAACCATTGTTAACAAAATGAAGAAATAAGTGACAAGACAAATACATTTGAGAAACCATGTAATAACTATTTGCCTGGAGCAACAGATGAAGGAAGAAAGTCAGGAATAGTAGAAATGGAATATATAGCTAACTGCTTCCATGAACAATTACTCCCTGTGTCATGAAACTAGAAGAGCTGGAAGGTGTTCAGCAACCATAACTGAACACTTTACTCCAAGGTTACATGAAAGAATGCTGATCAAAATGGGAAAAATTCAGAACAGAATTTCAAATTATCATGGATTATAGACTCTCTGGAGCCATGGAGGCTGAATGAATTCCAACCCCAAAATTATTGTCTTAAAATAATCTTTAATCCTTAAACTAAAAATAACTCTTCTAGAAACGCCTGCACTGAACATCATACTCTTTAAGAACTATCTATATGGGATCAAACTAACAAAAGAAATTCAAAATATTAGATGGGAATATTAAGGACAGTGAGTTTTTATTATTGGGAAAGAACCACTCAGAAAAGGAGGATTAGAACTACTGCAAAACTAGAAGAATGTGATTAGTGTCATTGAATGGTATATGGAGAAACTGTTGGATTTGTATTATATTGCTATCAAAGTTAAACAAACAAAAAAATTCAGGAAGAAAAAGCTTTATAATAATACTTGAAGTATTCGTTTTATAGGCTCCATTCATTGGTAGAAAAAATATATAAGGTTTTAAGACTTTTACTTACCATATGTATCATACGGATCCACATTAGGACTAGGCATATTCCACCACTGGATGGTTGCATCAATTCCACCACTAAAACACTGTTCACCATTAGAACTAATAGCTAATGACAAAACAGGGCCACTATTATAAAAAGGAAAAAAAAATTTTTTTACTGATAAAGCCAAAGAAGAAACCCATGTCTCCAACTCTCCAACTTCTAAATTTATGAGGTATTTAAAACCTGATAAGGTAAATATTCACATTTAAATATTATTAATTGTGTTAGTTATAATCAAATGAGATATTATTCAACTAATGTCATTGTTATAAATTGCCATTGAGTCAGTTCCATTTCATAGCAACTCTGCACAGTGTGTCTGATGCTGTAAATTTTTTGTGGGAGGCAAAAGCCTCATCTTTCTCTAGAGATGCAGATGGAGGGCTTGAACCACTGACTCTGTGGTTTGCAGTCCAATGCTTACCCTACAGAGCCAACATGATCCTATTAAACTAATATATCTTTTCCAATATTAAAAAAAAAAAAATTATACGAAATTTTTAAGGCTCAAAAATCAGTAATTAATAATTAACAATAACTAAGAGTGTTAATATCAATTCAAAAAACTTACATGTGGGCCCTAAATGTGTAGATAGGCTCTACATCTAAAGAGGCACTCCTAAAATAAGATGGAAAGAAGACAAATAATTATAAATCGCTGGTTTATATTAAAGAATGCATAAGATTAAATATGTGCATAGAAGATATAGCAAAATAAAGAGGAATACTGAAATAACATAATTATTAGAAAAACTGGGGGGGAAAGGGGGAGGGGGACTCATAAAACTTCAATAAACAGGCAGACGTTAAAATACTTGCTTTTTGGCAGGAACTGTTTTTTGTAAGTTCCAAAGTTTTAGAGTATGGTCCTCAGAGGCCGTTACCAGCACAGGTTCTACAGGATGAAAAGCTAATGCCCGGACTCCATCAAAATGACTACGTAGCGTATACTTGGGGTTCCATGTCTTTCGAAAGGCATCTTTATTGGCAGGCAACTAAAAATAAAGACAGGGCAAAATTTAGTGGTAAAAGTAGTAAATACATAAGCATGTGGAACTGTTTTTGTGTGTTTAATACATATACAATACCATTAGCCATTCAAATACGTAGATCAAAAGAAGAACCCCTAAATGGGTGTTAATCTAACCATCAAGCTAAACCAAACACCAAACTCAACCCACTGTTGTCCAGTCTACTATGACTCATAGTGACTGTGTAAGGACAGAGTAGAACTGCTCCATAGGGTTTCGAAAGCCATAAATCTTTATGGATACAGACTGCCACATCTTTCTTCTGGAGAGTTGGTAGTGGGTTCAAACAGCCAACTTTTGGCTAGCAGCAAAGCACTTTTAACCACTGCGCCACCAGAGATCCTTGCTATACCCAAAGTTCCTATTAAATGTCAGATGAGGACAATGCAATAACTGCCATTGCTGCAATAGTTTAAACGAAAATAATAAAAATCATGTAAATTACTATAAACAACTCAAGGGTAAGAGTACAAATATCATTTATGAAATTTATTTGTACGAACAAAATCTTTCTTAAGGCAGCAAGATAAGGCACTTTCCAAATCTGAACTAAAGACACTAAGAATATTTTCACCTCAGTATTACTAATGTTGATATTGATACTTTTTATCTTTATTTCTCCATCTATATAGATTAAGGAACTCTGGTAGCATAGTGGTTACGAATCGGGCTGCGAACTGCAAGTCCAGCAGTTCGAAACTATCAGCCGTTCCACAGGAGAAAGATGAGGCTTTCTGCTCCCGTAAAGATTTACAGCCTCAGAAACCCTGTACAGGGTCGCTATGAGTCGGAACCAACTCTACAGCACATAACCACCACCACCACCATAGAAATTAGGTTATGCAACCAGTTCTAAAGCAGTGATAAGTTTATTAAATATCATTGCTTATATATTTAGGAAGAACAAGAAGAATTCAGCCTACCAAAGCTGACCTCACAGAAGCATAAGAGTATCAAATGTTTAAAAAAAAAAAACAATCACTATGAAAGGAAAGAAACTTAATTTGCTGAAATATTACAAATTAACATAAAATCTAAACAAGTATAGTTAACTCTCAATTGAGTGTTAATTTTCCAAAATAAAATTTCATCCAAGATAGTTTCACTTAACATTGTCCTTCCCATCTGTTCATCCTATCCCTACACCTAAAATGAAGACTTATTCAAGAAATGATGCAAGCTAACTGTTAAAAATCCTAAGGCAAGTATGTAATTAAAGGTACCTATTTTTTTCTTTTTAACACCAAAACATGGCCTGATCTGTATAGATAATTGAGAGTTGACTACTTAAGATAAATACCTACCAACATACAGAGGTAATCATCTTAAACTCCTGGCTAATCGATCACAATACCTGAGAATAATTTAAACACCACAAACAGCTATTAAAAAAAAAAAAAAAAAACACGAAAGAAACCTGCATCACTTCAAATCAACACAATGACACTTATTTTAAACTTATCTTTTCCATGCACCGTGAAATAATTCTGTATTAGTTAGAAGTGATTCCAGAAAATAAGGAGCCTCTAATTAAATCATTAAGAAATTAAAAATAAAACTGCACTTACATCATAACTATAGTCTGCATCATTTGTTACCGTCAAGTCTGCAAGGTCTCCAAGGCCCAGTACACTTAACAAAACATCATCAGAACCCATAATAAATGACTTGCCTCCTCCAGATGGAAACGTTATTGGTTCAGCTATAAAGAACAAAACCGCTTCTTAAATGCTGAAAAATCATACAGTACAAGACAATATTGTGGGGGAAATGTAAGTACTTAACAGTTATAATATTCAGCAATATAACTTTTTTACTTTCCCACTTTTCCCTCCTTATTTCTTCCACCCCCAAAACTCCTCTATCAGAGTGGTAATAATCATGCAGAACTGAAAAATAACCTTCTATAAACAAAATATTCACTACATAAATTATATTATAGGTGGGGCACAAAAACGTTGTCTATTTAATTCCTTCTCCAGCTCCATCATTTGTACATTTACAACTATAATTTAAGATGTTAAATTGGAACACATTTTAACTAAAGGAGCTAAATATAATATTTCAGCTATTCATGGGCATTAGGTCTCTATCATCAAGACACAATAAATACTTCCTAAATCCTTTTGCTTTAGATTCCATGTCCTTAGAGGTGTTAGGTATGTTGTTGTTAAGTGCCACTGAGTCGGTTCCGACTCACATCAACACTGTACAGGGCTTTATGAGCGTGGCTCGTAAGTTTAAACCTTTGACCTTATTGAGCAGTCCAGTGCTTATAGCACCACACCAGGACTGTTAGTCACTGATAAAAATTAATCCAAGTATTTCAGTGTAAATGGTTTCTAAACAGAATATACAGAATATATCGGCCTACTAAAGGGAAGTCTTAATTGCTCATAATCCTCAAGTAGCATTAATGTTACTTTCTTTTTGTCCAATGTTAATCCATGTAATTTTTAGAATGCCTTCCAGCTTTAAAACTTTACTTAAGACTTTTATTTCAACTTCTGCTTTTATTTTTATTTAGAGTATTTTGTTTCATTATTTTTACTATATCAAAGCAATTAATATAATTTGACTGAAATTGGGCCCTAAATGATACTGTCAAAATGAAGAGTAAACAACCAATCTAAAGTAAACTTTAATTAGACAGAAAAAATATATAAAGATAATAAGTAGCATTTACATAATCTTTTAGTGATTATGTATGCTGAATCTGAACAATTTGTGGCATTGATCTTTGTTGTGCAGATTTCAGTAATACTAGCATCAACTAAGAACTATGAAATGAAGAGTTACAAATTATGATTATAAATTACATAAATTTCATTAGGAATATTTAATCAAAATGCATTTATCCAGTACAAATATTTTTCTATTAAACCCATAATTTGTTTCCATGTTAAAACAAAAATGCCACAATGCTTCACATTCAGAATTATACAATCATTTACTAACATAAATCTTGATAAAAGTACAATAAAGTAACTTTTTTTTTTTTTGCATGCTTACCTATTCTTTATGCAGAAAAAATTCTGATCAGAAATTACAAATTTATGGGCACTTTAAAAAAAAGTGTTAGCTATGTTTACTGGATTTTAGGTCAATTGTATTAAACATACTCATTTCTAATTAGAATCATAGTCATATTTAATTAGTCACAAGAATGCTCTCTAACTATATATACCACTGCCCTCTTGTCAATTCTGACTCATAGTGACCCTACAGGACAGGATACAACTGTGCCATACATCTTCCAAAACTGTAATCTTTATGGAAAAAAACCACTACATCCCTATCCCACAGAGCAGCTGGTGGATTGAACCTCCAACCTTTAGGTTAACAGCTGAATTATTTTACAACTGAACCACCATCAATGTTACTCAACTGTATGTATAAACTCATGTTTACTTATATATAGCAAGCGATCCTGAATACTCAGTGTTCAATTACATATATACAAGGAGGCTTCAAAAAGCTCATGAAAAGAAAAAAAGGAAATTTTAAAAAATAATGCAATTTTCTCACACTTGTTGAAGCTTCTTTGTATGTGAAAAAAATCTTTCAAGCCATATTTCTGCTTTCCCTAATTACCCATCTATATTGCATATAGTAATCATAGTAGATACCCAATTTGCTTTCCTGTTTTGCTTCAAAAGGAATTATTAACATCTATTAAAAAAACTCAATTAATGTTAATATAAACGGCAACCCACACTAGCATGTGGTTATATAAGTATAAAAAATGTCATTAACAACTCAGTGATAAATAAAATGATCAAAAGTCGTTTCTATTTTAATAATGGCTGACACTTTTTAGTAGGCAATTCAAGAATACTATTTTCATATACCATATCTCTTTATGTAATCAGGTTCTACAAAAAAAAGTCCTTTAGGTACATCTACAATTTATCTTCCTTTTAAACTGACAGGATTGTGATGGTAGCATTGTGGTTACAAATCGGGCTGTGAACCGCAAGGTCAGTAGTTCGAAACTACCAGCTGCTCCGTGGAAGAAAGATGAGGCGTTCTGCTCCCATAAAGATTTACAGCCTCAGAAACCCTGAACAGGGTAGCTACAAGTCAGAACCGACTCCATGGCACACAACAACAACAACAACAATTGTGATGGTATCTTCCTTTTGCCTTACAAATTTGTCAAACCAGAAGAACCAACAAGCTCAATATGTGATTCCATTTATTCCAGTTGCATCATGGTATGTCTTAACCATAGCCTGAAATGTTGTAGTGTAGAAGCATTGTTCCTTCAAAATAACACCTTTTATTTATCAAATGAGGTAAGACATGGACTTTAACAGGAAAGCACAAAGTTGGGGTTGCCACTGAAAATAAGTTAGAGATTATGAATTCCAATGTTCCCTTCTAAAAACTCCACACAGAATCTCTTTAAATGATAAATTCTAAAATCTAAAATCTCTTTAAATAACAAATTCTAACAAAATTTTATCCTTTGAAAGTAATGAGGCTTATGTTTACCAAATATTCCTTTCTTTCCTTCTTCCTATTACCAATAACGGATTAGATAACTGACTTTTATAGGGCTTTTGTACACACCAAGTTATTGTGTTTCTTTGGCCCATGTTTTTTCCTGTCACTCTCCTTTTTTCTGGAACCTCCTTAAATGTACTTAATATTAAAGAAATACTTATTTTTTAAACAAATTTATAGTTGCAAAAATAAAAATGAAAAGAGATGAAACAAGTTACGTTTTTCTTTAAAAACACATATAGGTAAACACACACACACACAAAGTTCTACAATGGTTTTGTAAGAGGTGGGCCATGACTGGATTTTCCCACAGGTTGATGGTTTCAAATATTTACATATATCTTTGCCATAAATGAGGATCTACTGTAAATTTTTTAATGTAACGTCATTAAAAATTTTTAACAGTATTACTGTGCATTATTAAGGAGCTCTGGTAGTGTAGTGGTTACGAATCGAGCTGTGAACTGCAAGGTCAGCAGTTTGAAACTGCCAGCTGTTCCGCGGAAGAAAGATGAGGCTTTCTGCTCCCATAAAGATTTACAGCCTTGGAAACCCTGCACAGGGTCACTATGAGTCGGAACCTACTCCACGGCACATAACAACAACTGTGCATTATTTGGCAACAATAGACCAAAGAAGTAGCTACTAACTAAAAATAGTGGCGATGGTATCATAATTTTAAAATACTTATCAAGGTAAAAAAGAGTAACAGCTGAATAGCGGACAAAAGATCTAGAAAAGGCAATGCATGCATATTTTACTTTTTCTGGTACAGGTTCATGCTTTAGTACTTTTTAGTTTTGTTATTTTAGTGATTTTCTTTAAGTCTACCTCAGATTTTTACAGAATACAGTGATTAGTAGACACTCTCAGAGACAATTTTAAGGACAAAACATAAAATTCTTTAACCCATAAGTAAAAATGCGCTAGCAGGAACTCTTAATGATTTTAACTATCTAGACCTAGAATTCCTCCATTCGCCTGTCACTGTGTCATACCATGGTGACTTGTGTGTTACTGAGATGCTGAATGTATTTTAAATACCATCAGAGTACACCCATGGCGGACAGGCTTCTGCTGAGCTTCCAGACTAAGAGAGACTAGGAGAAGTAGAGACAGACTACTTCTGAATATTTAGTCACTGAAAACCGTATGAATAGCAGTGGAATACTATCAGAATATTATTAGATAATGTGCTGGGAAATGGGATTTTCAGGTTGGAAGACACACAAAATACAATTTGGGAAGAGTTGCCTCCTCAAAGTAGAGTTGACCATGATGACACAAATGAAGTAAAAACTTTCAGGTCTTTCATTTGCTGCTGGGCCACAACTCAAAATGTGGAGAAACAGTTGTAAACATCCGTTAGTAATCAGAACAGGGAATGTATGAAGTATGAATTTAGGAAAATTGGAAGTTGTCAAAAATGAAATTGAATGCATAAACGTCAGTATCCTAGGCATTAGTGAGCTGAAATGGATGGGTACCAGCCATTTTCAGTTTGATAATTGTACGATTTACTTAAGCTGGGAATAATAAATTAAAAAGGAATGGTGTCACATTCATCATAGGAAAGAACTTTTCAAGATCTGTCTTAAAGTATAAAGTTGTCTATGATAGGATAATTTCCATCTGTCTACATGGACGACCACTATAGGATAAGCAGTGGACTGCAAACCACAAGACCTATGGTTCAAACCCACCACATGCTACGCATTGAACCGAAAATCAACAAGGACAAACAACCAGAGATTGACATAAGTGGCAGCACTACCCAGAACTGAATCGACAAATGGAAGAATCCAGAACAGAACAAAACTACAAGAATGAATTCAGAAGATCTGGGAGGTCAGTTATTGATCAAAACAATTATAGCATGAATGAAAGTAAAAATATAGAAACAGAGATCCAGGTGATGAGGTGGTCAGATACATTGCAGGATAAAATTGACTGTTTTAAATGGAGGAAAAGTTAATAAAATATAGGGAAACCTCAAAGAGAATTAATACTTCACAACATACCATGAAAATGAAAATCCAAGAACATGGAAACATTAAAACTATGAAGAAACTGACAAGAAAGAACACAAAAAGCATGAACTCAGCACAGGAAGGCATGTAGGACAAAGTATAACAAAAAAACAAACATAATGACAATTAATTCATACCTTTTGATAATTACACTGAATGCCAT